CTTTCTAAATGTCTGTCGTGCGCCATACATGAATATATTCTTTGTAGCGTGGCAACTCAGTATCTTTTTTAAACTATTGTACTGGTATTTAATAATTTCATAATTTTATAATTGTGCTTACGCTTAATGTTGATATTAGTGGTAAATCCTTAGATAAAGCAAATCGATGTGATATTTAATAGAAAAATAGCAAACTAACGCACCATTCATTCGAAAGCTGGGAAAACTACTAAAAAGAACTACTAAAATTCCTGAGGAACCAAAGGATCAAACTGGTACCAAATAGATGCCTGCTATTCCGTCGTGAAAACGGCCTTTATGAATTTATTTCAGTGTTTTAATCGATGATGCTCTCTGATAATATGACAAAGCAGGCATATAAGCAATTAGTGCAACCCTAGCTGATAGCTGGTAAGAGACACAATGAGCCTAATTTGACCAAATCTGCACCTAATCTCTACCAGATGTGCCCCAAATGTGTACCAGATGGCCGTCGTGAAAACGGCTATCAATTAACCCTCGCCCGGCGAGGGGGGTTGATGCAACCCCCCCCCCCTAAGGTTTTTCGAAAATACGGCGGCGCGTAGCGGCGCCAAATTTTGCATACCCTCTGGGGCAACCTTTTCGGACCTTTCCTGAAAATTTGAAGTCCCAGTATTTTCAGGTTAGGTCACCAGGTCACAAAACCGGTACAAGGTCAGGGGAAAATTGGACTAGCTTAGCGGCAACTGAATTCCAGAGTTCACTTAAATTTGTAATAAAGTATATCATTCGATGTGCACGGACGTCCTGAGTTCACTGGTGCTTTTATTTTTGCTCTATCTTTACTAAGTAAAAAGTTATAAGCGAAAAACGTTTGGCATGTTTAAGTAAAGTTTTTGCATTCATACCCCTCAAATACCCTCTAAATATTGACTAAGAGTCACCAAACTTTCACAGGGGCGAGATCTCCTATTGACCCACCTACCCTGTAAATTTGACGTTTCTAAGTGCCATGGAGCCAATCGCGAGGGGGTTCATTGACCTGACCTGGAAGTTCAACCAATGACCTAGGACCTCAAAATTGGGTATCATCGGCTTTGTCTCGTGACGGGCAGCATGCTCGTTTTTTTTCGCGAAGCATTAGCTCGATCAGGGGCCAAACGGCAAGGGGGTCCAACCGACCCCCCCCCCCCCTGCACGTTAGAAGCTGGCAAACGCCGCACACATGCGAGGGTTAAAGTCCTTTAAGCTGCTGCTATACACCATACTAGTGATGTCAATTAAGGAAAATCGTGATACCGATACCAAAGCAAATACAAGCATAAGCCATGGGAAAATACCGAAACCAAACAAACTCGGGAAAATCAGGTAAGTACCAACTTTTTACCAAACTCACAGCCTTTTCATATCAGCGACGATTCAAAACAAAATCCTAAGGGGGCGGGGGGCACCTATAGACATCGCCTTGGTACATCGCTAGAGACCGGTTAGTAGGGTACTGACTACCGTCAACCGTGCACAAGTCAGTTGGAAGTAACATCCCCCTCGCAATTACGCACATGCAAGGGCCACCCCCTCGCTGGCTCGTCTGTCGCCCCCCCCCCCAAAGGTGTCTTACTGGCATTAACACTAAATACCAGTCTGAAGAGTGACCATTATGTGCGTAGGTATGCATATCATTAGAATCAGCACTGCTTTTGAAATCCAGCAATAGCAAAAACAAGTCGATCCCTTGCAAATTCTCAAACCCTGGGCCTGATAATTCCTTTAAAATCCGCGAGTAGCTGGGGAGGGGGGCGTAGTTACATCCCCACTTTTTCGCCGCGCTATCGCTAATGATCGCTAAAAATACGGCGCGCCGCAGCCGCACCAAATTTTGGTTACCTCTAGGGAATCGATTGAAGTTTATTGTTTCGTATATCGTTGAGAGCTTCTGTGAGGAGCATGATAAATGTAGGAAGTATCATCGTCGTGTTCTTTCGTTTGCCCTCTCGTGCGTTTCGCTGCGTCTATAGGTTCTCGAGTTATCGGCTGGGGGCGTTTACCCTCCCCCCCCCCCCCCAGCAAATGGCGGGTGGCGAAATACCCCCACCAACTGCCGGGTGCTTAGTTACGAAGCAATTGTAGACTTTCGTCAACAAACCCTCCAGTAACTAGCAAGACTCCATTAAAAAACGCGAGCTAGTGCTTCACCGCGTGTTTAGCCTGAGATGAGCACTGCGCAACCATGCCACATCAGCTGCCTGCGTGGATCCGCGTTCCCCGGGACGGACGGTCACCCCTTCTCGTCACGCCTGGCTGGAGTCGGGACGCGGCTACCCTCCTGCCCTCCCTTTCCCACCCGATCGTCGCCAGCGCGGCATTCCGGAAAGGATTAGCCATGTCCATCCCCGATCTACGATCAAAAAGCACCGAGAGACTGCATGGTTACAAGTCGGAATATAAAACAGAGGCAAGGCTAGTAGCTTGCACTCCGTCATGTGCCTTCAATGACCTGAAACTCCTTCAATTGCAAGAATGATAGTAGTGAGCAGAATCAGATACTACTTGTTGCGAGCGAGGGACCCGAAGCGGTCTTTTCAATATTACGGACAAATCTCGGTAGGAGCGGCCCGGCTGGGACCGGCCCGGCCTGTAACACTTTAAACCCTCGTCCTGTGGGGGGGGGGGAGCTATTTTTGTCCCCTCCAGTCTTTTCGCAATATCATTAAAACTGCTGCGCCGATCGTCGCGAAACTTTCACTACCATCTCGTACATTCCTTTTACACATTGTGTTCAAAAATTGTTCAATTGCCTATGATAGGTTGGCCAGAAATGACGTCAGAGTGACGTCATTTTCATCGATTTAAAAGGCTAATATCTCAGCAACCGCTGCACAGTGTGGCCGAGCACCAATTTAGCGCGAATTTAATCCCAGCGCCGCTCAGATCCACTGAAAATGGCTCCCTGGTTCCAAAATTGACACCCTTATGTGAGACCTTTTGCGATACATTGTAAATGCTTGCTGGCACACAGCGACGTAATTTCGCAGAAAAAGTGAGGGGAACTAGGTCACGACGGGTGATGTATTTACCAGGGCCGGGCAGTCGATTGATCTTCGGGTACTCTGACTTCGACTCCGACTCAAGCTTCCAAAAATCAATTTCGACTCCGACTCCGGGCTGAACTGTCGATAGACTCTGACTCCGATTCCGCAGCCATGACAAGTCTGCGGAGTCGATGAATTTTGGTGACTCCGACCCCGAGTCTGGCTCCGGATTCCAAAATCGATTTTATTTCGACTCAAACTCCGGTCAGAAGTCAGAACTTCCACCAGATATGGACTCAGACTCCGCAATCCTGGTATTTACCAGCAAGTAAGAGGCATAAAATTAAAGAACAAGTGCGTGGTGCTTCGTTCCCATTACCATTCCGCCAAAGGTCTGGTGCGACCCAGTTTCATCCAACGATACAAGGCTGCTATAAGGTCAAGGTCACATGAGAGTTTCCTTGCTAAAAGTTTTTTCACTGATTCAAGTCGGCCAAATGATGAAGACATTCTTACCATGTTAAGGCTCTAAATGAATGCTTACAGCAAACTGGATGCCAGATTCGTGATCAGCGGTTACGAATCGTATATATAAGCTACCATTCATGTGTCTAGGTAAAAAGAAGGTCATTCGAGGTCACATGAGGTCAACATAAAACTTGAACTTTTTCATGCAAAATATATGTCATTCGACGCGTCTTGACAAGACGAATGCGATAGTACCACTACTGTAGCTCTCGGACCATTTTTGTTAGTTATTTGCGAAACACCAAAACCTCAGCTCAGGGTCGTTGACCTGACCTCTGACCTCAGGTCACCAAAACTATTTTCATACTTTTTTACCAGGGGTGCGGAGCCGGAGCCGGAGCTGGAGCCGGAGCCGCCGGAGCCGGCATATTTTGCCCGGAGCCGGAGCCGGAGCCGGAGCCGTCGAAAAAGGGGGCGACTCCGGCTCCTTTTTTTGAAGAGGAAAAATTATTGACCTAGTTCGGTTTGACAGTTCAAGGCAGTAAAACATGAGGTAGTCAAAATATGAAAATAGCCTTGTTATGCAAATACAGAAGCAGCGCGCACCAATCCCATCATCTTGTTTCTTCCACCCGTATTTAATTGCATAGGGGATGTACTGAGTATTGGAGCCGGAGCCGGAGCCGGAGCAGCCGGAGCCGGACCATTTTACTCGGAGCCGAAGCCGGAGCCGGTGTCGCCATCGCATTTCACCCGGAGCCGGAGCCGGAGCCGATTTTTTTCTCTGGAGCCAGAGCCGTCTGAAATTTTCACGGCTCCGCATCCCTGCTTTTTACCCACATCAAACGCCACGCAACCGCTTCTGTTATTTGTCACAATCGTTTTGTCATAATTGTTTCACAATTGTTTTGTTCCATGATATATTATTTGGGCATTTTGGGTAGGGTGAGTCAGGTGACGTCAGGTAAGGTTGATCATCAGGCTATGCTTATTTCGTCTTTACCAACACTGATAGCATCAGCCCGTGCCGCTGGTCACTACAGCGAAACTTAGCAGCACACCCAGCGCTACTATCCACTCGCTCCTCAGCTAATTACTTCGACTGCCCGACTCGGCCCGACCCTGCCCGGCCACCCTACCCGGAACAAATTGGACTCTGCGGGAGGTCGCGGGAGGGACCACAGCTTCAATGGGCCGCCCGACCCTTCATTAGGGGGCGCCACCGGACAGAAGAGTGTATACGGCGGCCAATTTTCACACACATTTTACACACATATTGACAGAACACCGACTTAACAGGACCGACCTCAAAATGGCCCTAGGGCATGTTTAGAGGCCAAGGAACATGGCCCCGGTCTTGGAATTGTCAGGACCGGGTTTTCGGTCCTGGCAGGGAAATCGGTCCTGTCGGGTCGGTGTGTATCCCGTCATCGGCCCTGACAAGTGAGTGCTTACACACGCACACACACACACACAGCCCGGGTTCAGTGGAGGGAAAGGACAGCTGTCGGAGCCACACACCTCGAGCCGGGGACAGGCAGCGACTCTTCGCGGCAGGTCCGACATGCGGTGTGGAGTAGACAGACTCGGCCGCTACCTCAATCACGTAGGTGATGTCGCCCTCCACGCCCGACCACGCGGCACGGCACCGGCTCTGGTCACACTGGCTGGCAACAGGCGTGTTTGTTTGGCGTCACATATCGTATCGGGCAACACTATTTTAGGAGGGTTTGTCGTGTGGTGATAAAGCTACCAATTTTAGCCAGCCTAGATATTGAAATCACTGTTTTGAGTTCTCTTTAACCTGAGCTCTAACCAATAGTAAAGTAAATACCGACTTTTTGGGTTTGGCAATGGACGCAGAATACTCACTTCAATGGATAAATTTTCTCCCATAATCTATAAAATTTCATGAATTTCAATTCAAACTATCAGCTGTCAGCTGACTGACAGCTTTGTACTGAAGAGGAAGAGAGGAGATATTGGATATTACCGACATTACAGAGCCCTGAAAACGACCACCTACCTCTCTCCCAGCGTTTCCTGGACGAACTTCTCCATCTGACCGGTATCTCTCGTACTCCGCTGGACATTCACATGGTACGCCTTGGTGGGCACCTCCACAGGCCTCGGCACGTCCCAGGACAAGGTCAGCGTGTGACCCTCGCAGCTGACCGTCAAGCCAGTGACCTTGGCCGTGTACTCTGGCGTCCGACACACCGCCAGGGCTGTTTCCCCGCGCTGCTGGAGATATTTCGACTCCGCCTGAACCGTCACCTGACACTCACTCCCGGGCATCACGGGTGCGTCAGTCGCCGAGCGCAGCTCGCACGTGCAGTTGAAGTAGTAGGTCCGCTCTCCCATGAAGTTGAACCGCTTCACCGGGTAGTTGCAGACGCGCTCGCAGGCGCCGCACTGGTCGGAGCGGGCCTGGGAAGAGGCACACGGACACTGGGTGTGGTGGCAGCTGTGCCAGAACTTGCTGACCACCTGGTGACCCGTCACAGGGTGATGGCACTGATACTGGCTCCGGTAGCTAACGATGCCGAACGCGTTCTTGGTCGGGTTGGCCCAGCTGAATGAAAGTCCCAGCGGCTGGGACGAACAGTCGGCCTTCAGGTGACGAACCATGCCCGGAGCTGAAACGGAAAACAGCGACTAAAGCGCAGGATGCACTCGCATAAACTCAGCAAATTTGTAATGTTTTTCTTTTAGAATGCAGTGTTAGCACCAAAAATGGACGGGAAATTGACTCAGACCCATCTTGTTAGCCGCCGGCTCTGAACCAGGGAAATGTCATGCGTGGTAGTTTAATAATACATGGATAGCGTTATGATAATTACAATTAGTGGAAAAGGCTTGGAAAAAATACCATGTCAGGCCTTAGAAGAGATCGGAGCTCGACTGGCAGCGGCACGTTCCCAATATCCTGCGACGTCTAACTTTAGATCGGAGCTGGGAGTGCGACACGTTCCGCCGTACACGGAAGTGATGCGGCACAGCATCATTCAGGCGCCCGCTTGGGACGCGAGCGTGCGGCACTGCGGCAGGCACGCAGGCAGTGGTCGAGTGCAAGACTGAGGTGGGAAGGTAGGAAAGGGATCGCGGGAGCGGGAGGGAGGGAGAGAGAGGGGAGGGAGGGAGAGAGAAGGACCAACTTGAAAAATAATAAAACCAATGTATCGATGATCCTAATTACCAATTAGCCAGGGTTCCAGTTCCACTTACCTAAAGTCCCAATCTATAGAAGACTGAAAGGCAATCCACTTAGTGCCTCGGTCCGGCCCTTGACGTCAGGGGTACGCTGCTTATGGATCATTTGATCAAACTGGGCGGAGTGAAGACCCAATAATGATCTTTAATTGGTCCTGACGAACGTGCTAAAAACAGCACGGACGGACCTTTCAGCAGCAGTGAAGTGCACTAACCCGACCCCTCCCCGCCACCTAGGACTTCCCCTACCTCTCTAACACATCATTACGGACGCCTCCTGACAGGCTTGACATTTCGTGCCGCCTCCGGCTAGTGCGCTTTGTCGGCGCCACTCGAAGCCACCTCGGTTGGTGAGGAGTGTGCCACTGTGACACGTCTGCTCTGTCGTTGCCCTGTTACCCGCTCTGCGGCTCCTTCCTAATCACTACAGGCGTGCCGCGCGGCCGCGGGGCCGCTGGCTTTGCCGCGGGCGGTTAGCGACGGAGTTGGTTTGATCGGTCACGCCTGGCAGCGTGCAACAGTGGTCACCTGACCAAGCGGACTGACTGGACGAACGTATTTGACTGAACTAAGGAGCAAGAGAGAAAGAGAATAGAAATATAGGGTGAAAGAGAAAAGAAATAGTAAGAGAGAGAGAGAGAGAGAGAGAGAGAGAGAGAGAGAGAGAGAGAGAGAGAGAGAGAGGAGAGAGAGAGAAAGAGAGAGTAAGAGAGAGAGAGAGAGGGGGGAGAGAGAGAGAAAGAGAGAGTAAGAGAGAGAGAGAGAGAGAGAGAGAGAGAGAGCGAGAGAGAGAGTGGAGAGAGACGTCCGTTGATCCACGGTTGCCGCTATAGCGTGCGTGACTTCGCGATAGTTGGCGGTCTTTATGGTGCTAGTTATGTCGTTGGCAGAGGCCGAATACGTGTGACTGTTATAAAAGTTTGGGAAACGGTCAAAGTTGGAACCTAATTGATTCCACTCAGAAGCTGATGGTCATAAAAATATGATTATTATTTTATTGGTATCTTTCATTTTACCTTCATGGGATCTTTATAACATTTCCAAGCTTCGCTGTTCGGTGACTCTCAATTGCGTTTATGTAGCTGCATGAAGAAGCTGTATTCGTGAAAGCATAAGTTGTATCCACCAAAGCCCAGTTATCTTTTCAAGCTCTCAACGAAATCGACTCCTGACGTGACCTGGCGTAAAGTGCAGCAAAAACCCAAACACAAACCATCGACATCTTCAGACTCCATATGCCTATACCACGTCACAACTCCAGCAACTCACGTGGTACGGTCATGGTAAAGTTGACGGGACCACTGGACGCCTGAGCCGTCCCCTCTTCATCAGCGATGTCGGTGTGCGCCACGATGCGGACCCGGTAGTTGAAGCCGGGCGTCCACTTGCCGTCAAATACAGAGAAGGTGATGTTGCGCTTCCCTGCACGGTGAACCACGAAATTAAGTTGTCTGCTTTTGTGATGATTGAAGTCTGACACGAAAAGAGCTGCCTTATCAGGAAGTCTGCCACACGACAAGTTTATTACATTGCTACCGGGAAAGCACACTGATTCAACTTGCTCGAGTAAAACTCCTGGAATTCGTTACGTAATGTAAAATCATATCAGCCTGGAGTTCGTACCAACTTACCTGAATAGAGCTGACGGATCTCGTCGGGTTTGAGCATGGCTGCCCGGACAGTCGACTGGTAGCCGGCCAAGAAGTCGACTCTCTCAAACTGCAGACGGTAGTCGTGCATGCCTGGATAGGGACACGGTGGGCGGAGGGATACGCTCACCGAAGTCTGTTCAGCATACCCGGGTATCCTCTTCACTTGTGGCGTCACAGTCACGTGACTTGGCGGCGGCGGCACTGGAGGCAGGGGATCGAAGAGATTATGTGGTTGCAGATCAATGGTGAGCTCAGCGTGAATGTCTCTGTCTGTCTGTCTGTCTGTCTGTCTGTCTGTCTGTCTGTCTCTGTGTGTGTCTCTCGCTCTTCTCCCTCCCCTCTCTCTTTCTCTCTCTCTCTCTCTCTCTCTCTCTCTCTCTCTCTCTCTCTCTCTCTCTCTCTCTCTCTCTCTCTCTCTCTCTCTCTCTCTTTCTCTCCCTTCTTATGCCTTCTCCGTCACAGAAGGCATAAGAAGTCTTTCTCATATTATTCTTCTCCGTCACTCTCTATTTTTGCTTCTTCCCTTACTCGTTTTCATAATCCAGTTATAAATCGTTTCAGCTAAAACATATGCAAGAGCACAAAAGAGCATCCCTCTAATCATTTTGCGACAATTTGCAAAATCTCGTTTCCACAGCTACTGCTCAGTAAGTTATCAGAAATGGCCGTTGTAAACAAGACGTCGTGTACTATTTCTAAGTCAATGCATGCTCTTAAAAATAAAAAAGATAATAAAAAAACTATATGCTTAAAACAACGTTGTTTGACTTTGCTGTGGTGTGCACTTGCTTTAAGATGTTAGAATTTTGTTCAATCGGTGAGCCATTCCCGAAAGACTCCGCCGTCAAGTTCCTCAATACACCATTCAATTCATTGAGATCGCAGTGTACCGATCGAGGCAACTGGATTTTCACCCCGGCGGCAGTGCCTCACCACGGTTAAAGGTTAATAACGCCGACTTGACGTGCCGCCTCTTCAGCCATGATGATTGAGCGCATCCTAAGCCGACGGCCCAAATTACCGCGGCAAGCCTCTGATCTTCATTACTGCGGCGAATGTCACGCAGCCGGGCCCAGAGCTTCAGAAGCTCAAAGCCGGGACACGTCAGCGCTTAGCGATCACGCAACTACATACGTTCCAAATAATACGGGCAAAGGCGGGTATTGCATTCCTTTGAAGTTTATTTGCTATCTCATATTCTTAATAACTAATCGTCACTCAAGATTGTTTGAATAATTGTTTCTGTCTAAAAGTGTTGCTTTTAAGCTGCGCATCTTATTATCAAATAGTTACGGAGCGAGCGAAGCGAGCGGAGTCTTACGTAGAATAACGGAAATTTCTGAGTATGAGCGGCCGGCCGGCCGGCCGGCCGTGGTCACGATTCTGCGACGCTTATATCTCAGCAACCACTTGACCGATTTACATGTGGTAATTTTTGTAGGGTAGCTTCATTCCTTCTACCAAGTATTGGATGATTCTCGATGCATGTGGGTGACCCCTTATGCACGTGCCAGTTGCCACGTGCAAAACGAAGAGGTGTCACTTTTGTAATAGTTGCAATATCTCGGTAACTACTGGGCCGATTGCGCTGAAAGTTGGCATGTAGGTAGGCACCCACTAGGCAATGCATATCCATGTGCCAGAGTTGGGGTGCTGCCGCACGTGCGCACGTGCAGGAGTCGTTTCCAGATCTCGAGAACGGCTGGACCGATTGCGCTCAAATTTGGAACACGGTTAGGGACCAGTTAGTAGGGTGCCGTGCACAAGTCAGTTGGGACCCATTTTGCACGTGCGCACGTGCAGGGTGCCGCTTCCAGATCTCGAGAACGGCTGGGCCGATTGTGCTCAAATTTGGCATATCGCTAGAGATTGGTTAGTAGGGTGCCGTGCACAAGTCAGTTGGAGGTACCCCCTCGAAATTTTGCACGTGCAAGGCCCACCCTCTCGCTCGCTCCGTTAGTCGCCCCAAAAGGCGTTATACTGGTATGTAGATGCATACATACAAGCATGCGTACCTAAACGTACATGCCTGTCTACAACATATACCTATGCATAATATAGACATTACACACAAAGCACATGTCCTAGCAGATAACATAAGATCAGAATTATGTTTTTGGTGCTGACATACTGCATTGATGGCAAAGTTTTGGAGGTTCGAAGGCACTGATTAGGCGTCACCAAACGTAAATTTTGTTCTACATGTTTGCACTTCACGATTAAGTATAGTGTAACGCTTCGCTAATAACATGTCTGGCTACTTGGATTAGTTTCAAGGCAACTTTGCCAAGTTAAACTTCTTACACCAATGGTGATCGAGTCTTGGCAAGCTTGCACTCTCTGTAATGATCGGATGACCTTACACCTTTCGAACTCAAATTAGGACACATCACGCCGAAGTGGAAAACGATATTGGTAAAATCCCATTAGCAGTATTCTCGGAAAATGTTCTACCTAAGCTTCTCACGTGCAGCATGATACCAATGCCACCACTGTGTAAGTACAATGAATCTTACATCCTGGCTGCGCTAGACGTTCATGAATTAGCAAGTAAGCGCCGGGCAGTCGGATCAATACCTGCACTGCTGTGCAGACGACTGTTTCCAATTCCGTCGCCTCCCTGACGGAGACCGTTTCAGGGCAGACTCCGCCTCATTAGCCGTAAGCCATCTGTAATGCGCGCCCAGCCGACACGTCTGAACGTGACTGAGAAGTGAGAAGCCGTGACCCCCGCGACGGCACCGGTTGACCTCTGAACCCTGGTGTGGAGGTCACTCGAGTGGTCACAGCTAAAGGTCCCATCACCTAATGGCTGCTGCGTCCTGTTGGTGGTCCCAGGACTCTCGGAGCCGGATCTTCATCCAGCTGGATTCTGGATGAGGATCCATTTGAGAGACTTTCGTCAAAAGCGTGGCAAAGGAAGGGCGTAAACAAAGTCTCCACCAAAAAGTTAGGTAGTGGTCAGCTGTCAATGTGTGTTTGGATTTTCAGAAGCTCTGATTATTTCGTGACATTATTGTCAAATTAAAAAGCTTTATCATTTGCTAAATCTAGCGAAAGAATTATATGAAATAGCCCTATCAGAAGGTGTTCAATGATCATAATATGGAATCCAAGGAACCCAGCTTCTACTTTTCAATCCCGGCGCATCTCGGGAAGTCGCCAACTACACAATGCTGCAGAATAGTGGGAAATTCGACTTAAAGCTTTTACGACAAAACTGATAGCATTAATTTTTATCTTATTGAGGTTTATCTACCAGGGACATCTTCAGGCGAAATCACAGCATAGAATGCTTAGGCTGTGCTCGAAATGGATTCTTTGTCAAACTATTGAGCGTTGAAGAAATCGGAGAATCAGAATCAGAATCAGAATATATTTCATAACGAATCCATCGAATATGGTTTTTCATCGTCACACGTCAAAGGTTGAAAACATACGAGGTAAAATACATTCAGGCCAATACAATACACCGCGATACTTGATCAGGTCAGCCATACAGTTCTCTGAGTAGGTAGCGTCTCAGGGTTGATTTGAAGTGGCGAGTGTTTGTGTCGAATGGCAGCTGGTTGTACTGCTGGACAGCACCGTAGCTGAGACGCCTGCGACCCGACTCAGAGTGTATCCTCGGTAGCGTGCGCTGAGAGGAGCCTCTCGTCTGATACACGTGGTCTCTACTGGGGCCGATGCACATAGCGATGCATTCGGGACTACCGGTCGTGATGGCAGCATGGGTGAGACACAGTCGGTGATACATGACAAGGCCACGCGCGTCTAACCAGTTCAGGTCACGGAGAACGTCCGCTACATGGTCGTGTTTACGCCGGCCGCTAACCACTCTGGCACCAAAGTTTAGGAGCTTCTGTACTCTATGTAGCTGCGTTGCATTACATGTACCGTAAACCGAGATGCAGTATCTAATGATTGATGTCACAAGAGCCTGCACGATCGTCACGACAGCACTTTTCGGAACTACATGTTTGGCATGCATCATACCAAGAAGAATGCCCGTGCACTTTGATGTTACATGGTCCACATGCGACTGGAAGCTCAGATAATTGTCCATGATGACACCCAAGTTCTTCACTACTCTAGAGTCGGGTATGGTGGTTCCTAGGAAGTCTAGTGCCACTGGCGGTAAACCTCTCAGCATAGCGGGTGTACCGAGCACAAGTGCCTGGGTTTTGGACGCGTTTAGTTTCATTCCGTTTGAACAAAACCAGTCGTACACACTGACAAGGGCCTGCTCCATGCGGACAATTAAAGCAGGCAGCTCACTTTTCTTGCCGCTGACAAGCAACTGTGTGTCGTCCGCGTATTGTACCACTCGGACCCCGTCGGGCACAAACAAACTGAGCTCGTTCGTGAAGATGGTGTACAAGACACAGCTGAGCGAGCCGCCCTGGAAGACCCCGATGGAGTTGGGCTTAGCAGCGGAACACATGGGAGTGCCGTCACCACCGATCACTTGCACTTGCTGAGTGTGGCCGCGCAAATAGTCTCCGAACCACTCTGTGTCTACGCCATACAGCGCCAGCTTATCGAGTAGTCTGGCGTGCGGTACCACATCGAAGCACTTCGATAGGTCAAGTAGCACGAGCACAGATATCTCGCGACAGTCCATAGCGCAGAGGACGTGTTCGGTGATGACGCTGAGAGCGGTCTCCGTGCTGTGACCCTTCCGGTATCCGTGCTGGGCGCTGGAGAGCAGCTTGTTGGTCTCCAGATACTGAGTGAGCTGGAGCTGCACTACTCTCTCAGTAATCTTCATCACTCCCGGCAGAATCGAGATTGGGCGGGTGTTGGCTGGAGCTGAAGGTCCTTTCCCCTTCGGGATTGGCGTGACAAGCGCGTGTTTCCACGCCGCCGGCACCTGACAGGTCACCAGGCTCGCGTTGATCATGTCGAGCAGAATCTGTCCAGTACCCCAGAAGTATCTCCTGAACATGTCGACACTGATCCCGTCAAGTCCGGTTGCTCTAGACGGCTTCATGGACCACAGGACCAGACACAACGTGTCAAGATCGATGGGCTGTGGCCGGAACCCACTTGTCGTCACTCGTGGCAGGCGGACGGGCACCGGTGCAGCAGGTCTCGGGACGCTGGCGGCAGTGGCAGGGCCAATGCTGACATAATAGTCGTTGAGTGCATCAGGGGTAGCACTGGGCACGGCAGTTGCCTTCTTACTGCCAATGATAGGCCGCAGCACGCGCCAGACGCTGCCCGGCCCCGCCTTGTCCAGTTCGCGCTGATAGTGGGCAGTCTGGTCTCGCCGTATCGCTCCGCGGCACTGGCGGTTCAGCTCCTTGTAGCGGTCGCGCTGTCCGCCTGCCTGGAGCGCCTGTCTCCGCTCGGCTAGCAGCTGGCGGGTGTCAGCCGTCAGGGGCGGCGCGCCGGGTGGCGACAGCCGCACTCGGGTGACCGGGGCCACCCCGTCGAGCTGCGAGAGGAATATCGCGCGAAATTCCTCCCACTTGTCGGCAGGTAGCTCGCGCAAGAGCACAGGACTCCAGTCCGCTTCGGAGAGCTGCAGATTAAACTGCTCAGAGTCGACTTTCTGCAGGCATCTCCGCTGGACAGTCGGTCGGGACGGTCGCCCCGCTCCACCGCAGCGCAGCACCAGCCGTGTGAAGTCGTGCGGGGTGCCGTACTGGCAGCGGGTCACCCCAGCACGTGTCACCAGGTCGGGCCGGCTGGTTGCGATGACATCAAGTAGTGAGTTGGCTGGTCGGTAAGTCGGGTGCTCGGTGTTGGCGATCCGCAGGCCGTACGTGGTCAGCAGGCGAGTCAGCCGGTGGCCGGGCGAGTCAGCAGCAGGCTTCGGCAGGCAGCAGTTCAGGTCACCGGCTAACACCAGTGTAGCGCCGGGGTGACTCGCAACCATATGCTGCACCTGACCTTCTATGTCCTCTAGGTCTGACGTCACTTGTGCTGCTGAATTCCGCGGCACACGGTACACGCTGGCGAACAAAATACCACGGTGGTTTCCTACGAACACTTTGGCCCACAGTATCTCGATATTAGAGTTCGGCACTCCGGTCACTGGCGTAGGTAAAACCTCCACTCGGTGCGTTTCACGGACCAACAGAGCTACACCACCGCGGCCGCTGGCTAGACCGCGACCGTCCTGTCGGTCACTCCTATACAGCCGGTAGCCACTGACCGTCAGGAGACGGTTCGGAACGTTAGGGGACAGCCAGGTTTCACATAGGACAAGCACATCGGAGTTCGAGTTTGATCCGACGTTTTATAGTCAAAGGTGTTCTCTAAAACTTTCACGAAGACAACAAATGCCATATAATCCGAGGAGCAAAGAGCAGAAGCAAGGAGTTAAACTGCAAAAAAACAACGGATGTTTCTACAGCTGTTTCAGAAGTGCTGCCTTAGCAATCGCTGACCTGCTAAGCGTTTCAAGTAATCTACAAAAAATAGAAGATAAAAACACACAGAATAGAGAGTCAAAACACATAAAAGCGCAACTATTTTTGGATTTCTAGAATTACTATCTTCATTTTTACTCAACGATAAATAAGTTATTTGCTGTTAGTTAGTCATAGCCATTAATTTGGTGGTGCTTATAATTGTAACACAACTACCTAAAATTATTTTATGAAAAGCTTTCAATTGAAACTTTCTCTACCAAAACTATAAAATTAAAGCTCACGATCAATAACTGAACCTCTACTTTTCTTAACCACCTAGTCCTTGAATTCATCCGCGATATTTCCTGTTTCCCGCTCTTTCGAGCTCAGTTAAATGTCTCCTTTTCAGTTCTCACCTCCCACTCGAGTGTCGCTGTTTCAGTTCTCACCTCCCACTCGAGTGTCGCCGTTTCAGTTCTCACCTCCCACTCGAGTGTCACCGTTTCAGTTCTCACCTCCCACTCGAGTGTCGCCGTTTCAGTTCTCACCTCCTACTCGAGTGTCGCCGTTTCAGTTCTCACCTCCCACTCGAGTGTCGCCGTTTCAGTTCTCACCTCCCACTCGAGTGTCGCCGTTTCAGTTCTCACCTCCCACTCGAGTGTCGCCGTTTCAGTTCTCACCTCCCACTCGAGTGTCGCCGTTTCAGTTCTCACCTCCCACTCGAGTGTCGCCGTTTCAGTTCTCACCTCCCACTCGAGTGTCGCCGTTTCAGTTCTCACCTCCCACTCGAGTGTCGCCGTTTCAGTTCTCACCTCCCAATCGAGTGTCACCGTTTCAGTCTCACCTCCCACTCGAGTGTCGCCGTTTCAATTCTCACCTCCCACTCGAGTGTCACCGTTTCAGTTCTCACCTCCCACTCGAGTGTCACCGTTTCAGTTCTCACCTCCCACTCGAGTGTCGCCGTTTCAGTTCTCACCTCCCACTCGAGTGTCGCCGTTTCAGTTCTCACCTCCCACTCGAGTGTCGCCGTTTCAGTTCTCACCTCCCACTCGAGTGTCGGCTGAGACGGGTCGACAGAACGGTCCCTGGCCCACGGCCGTGGCGGCCGCCACAGTCACGTGGTACCGTCGCGCTGCCTGCAGGCCTGTCACCATGACGGTCACGTGGTCGATGTCTCTACCCTCCAGAGGCAGCTCGAACCAGCGGTCGACACACAGAGGGTCCGAAGTGCAGAGCGGAAACGTGCGAGGCTCGCATGTGACCGAGATGTTGTATCTGCAAAATGGAGCTTGGACGTGACATGGTTCTCCATATTGTACTGTGATTTCGATGCGACGCGACGGTGGGAACTCCGTGTTATTTAATTTTAACATTCAAAAATTGCCCTTTGCTATGTATTTCACACTTGGTGAAGGCATCGTTTTTATCTTTGTGCTCGTCGAATTGTGAGCACGGTTAGCACACAGAACACACACTCGCCAGCGAAAACAATTTGTTTTTACCTTTTGTTACGCCACAATGACGAGCACACTCAGCACTGCCTCAGGCGACCTTACACAAAGAAAGGCAAGTAAACTCACAAACAGGATTACATACAAACCGTCGGCACACAGAGGGCTTGTGCGTGAGTGTGTTTTTCCCGGCTGGGATTGCTAGTCGCGCCGGAGGCTGTATCGAAGAGCTGGCGAATCTTTCCCAACGGGCAAAAACTCCGCTCCTTGCCTCAGAGTGGTCACCATTTGTGGCAACTGGCATCATACCGGAAATGGACAGGCCGCCCTGGGCTTAAAATGAGTCCCTAGCGAGCTGCGCTGCGGATGTGAGCTGAGTGCTGGCAGTGATCCTGTGAGGTGCTAGTAGTTTGGTATGTAAGAGGAGAGGAGGAGTAGGTGTCAGGATGAGAGTTTGGCTAAGAGAAGCTGCCGCTGGCAATGATCGCTGGCTGCGCATTTCGTGCAGCGAATGAATGTTTGTAGAACTATAAGGCATACCTACACTATGCATTGTATAATTGGCAGAAACGGGAAAGTCAGCGACAGAATGGATTATGAAAACTGAATGCACCTTGTTAGAGTGTCACTCGTCGGAGCGTCTTTACGGTCTTGGAATGCCTGAGAAATTAAAAAAAGAAAAGAATTTTGAATAATTCAGAAACTTAGACATCCCCTCCCAAAAAAAAATCCTAGACTCCTTTAACCAGGCTAATGTACCTTTTATGGAAGACATCGCAAACAATGGTGAAAGTCATTCATTATTTGCTGCCTTCGTGCTCAGTGCAGGGCTCCGGTGTGAACCATCCATTATTACTCGTCTTTCACCCGATAACCAGGACGTGGTTGGCTGCGGGCTTTGTGAGCCACCCAATCAATATCGCTAAGTGTCCCGACCAGACACATCCACCAAATGTGACAACAAATGATTATCAGTCACAACATTGATTCTGATAATTACGAGCTGTGAATAGTTCCGCTACAGCATAACTATGTATGATGGCCGTCCACCCGCCGCGCTGTTGCTGCAGAATGAAAGACCAAAGTCGTTTTGACTATTCTTTTGAAGACTCATTTCGACTATTCTTTCGGTGCGATGATGAATTATCAACCCTGTATAAACAGCAGTACAAATTAGCACACAAAGCTCAGCCGTCGTAGTCTGCGGACAGGGACTGGTCTCGGTAATGACTCGGAAAACGACTCACCTGATAATGACTCCGTTGGGCTCCTGTGGCCGGTGCCATTCCAACGTTAGGCTGGTATGACCCGTGTCGGTGACATTCAAGCCGTGTGGCTTTCCAGGGGCTGCCAATGGAATGCGGTGTCCCATTTATTTCTGCACTTGGATAAAGTGTTACAAAGTGCACTATCATGATCGCACTGAACGCAATTGAATTAGCATACTTCTTTACTAAAAATTAACCATCACGAAGACTAAATTAGATGCAAGAAGTCATGTATTTTTATGTCTCGATATCCCCCATATTGAAATAAATGGAGGTCCCTCTGTCACATAACAAGCAAAAAATGCAGCCATGAAAGGTGCATATGTCCCAGAGCACCGTGAGCAATGCTTCACAAGAATCTCACCTGTCTCGTTCGTTGTTAGGTTGACAAAGCGGATGTCTCCACAGGGTGGCTTTATTAGGGCTGTGTCTGCAGGTGCCGTGTCCATCAGACTGGCCAGAGCACACACTCCACACCGGTAGCTGCGCAGAGTCATCGGGAAAGGCGGGTTTGGTTTTGATGAAAAGAACAATAGGTATTTAAATGTTTGTCTAACTTTTTTGTTACAAATAATGCTTTAAATCATGCTCTTTTCATGGAAACTACCAATAATCAACGTATATTCGTAGCTTCAACCTTCTCAAACAATAGCAACAGCTGTCTTCATTCAGATCCCACGCTTGTTCCAGCGAATTAGCTTTCCAGCCTTGCGGTACAGCATGCATTCAGGCGCTCGTCACTAGTGCCATCTAGAGACAACTTTATAAAGTACACTGCCTCTCGTACGGTCTAATGCTCCAAAGAGAATTGTTGCTGCGTAATGTGAGACTTAATCACCATGCCATGTCGACATAACGAATATAAATCATGTAAGTACATGACCGGAATATCATTTTGCGTTGCAGATCTGAGGACAGGGTGTAAATGAATAATTTACAAAAATGCACAGCACATAGTAACTATTTAGGGAAGCCTAGGTGACTGAAAATGCCTGTAAATGTAAAGACATATTGAACAACTTTTCACTGTTCCTCACTATTTCTCTTTTTCTTGCTCTGTTAAGTGAGGGTAATTGATTAACCCGCGCATGACTATTCTCTCATCAATTTTACACATGGTGCGCAGGTTTGAACCTCCTATCTCTTAAGGTCAGGTCACCAGGTCACTTTGAATGACCCAACCTCAAGTCACTTTTTTGCAACTTTGTCACCGTGCCAGAGCTACAGTAGGTGTCGGAGGCCTTTGAAAGTCACAGGATGTTATAAGGTCAATATACAATTTGTATATCTCGGAATTTTGATATCAGTGACCTAAGGTCAGGTCAATTTCTCGACCTCCCCATTATAAGTCAATGGGGGAATAATCGACTCCTTGTTTTTTTTAACTAAAACGGGTCGGAATGGCCCCACACACAGAAAAATATTGACACCGTTAGCGGTGTAATTGCACAGTACATATCTGAGCACTTGAGGAAAGTTAATTTAGTCCCTTCCCCGCTTAAATTACACGCGCTTCCAAATGAACACCAGGAAGAAGGTAATAGAACACTGTTAGGAGGGTTGGGTGTTTTACTACATGAAGCAAAACACCCAACCCTCCTAACAGTGTTCTATTACCTTCTTCCTGGTGTTCATTTGGAGGCGCGAGTAATTTAAGCGGGGAAGGGACTAAATTAACTTTCCTCAAGTGCTCAGATATGTACTGTGCAATTACACCGCTAACGGTGTTAATATTTTTCTGTGTGCATAAACCATACATGACCTCATACACGATCAACCTTCACTACCTTGAGGTCTGTTTTGCTGTTGGGCAGCTGCAAGGTCACGTGACGTCATCAAATGTCACCAGCGGTTTTTTGACAATAACTCCGTACAGGAACAAGATACAGCCGCGCGGATGGTCTCATTGTGTTCAGCTCGTCAAGGCGCATCGAATGATATACATGATAATCTCGAGGTCACGTGACCTGAGGTCAACCTTTAACCTTGACCATTCGAGGTCAACATATATATCATTCGATGCGGATTGACGAGAGGATCACGATGCTGCCCTTAGTTTGTTCCTATATTGACTAGTTCCAAAGTTATTCGAGAAAAACTCTCTCCATACCTAGCGCCGCCATTTTGACTTTTTTGACCACTGTGACGTCATCTTTGACCTGACCTGAAAATGACCTTAGTAAAAATTGTAGACCTTGTCCGTGCGTATCCCTTGCCGTTTACCGCTTGTCGCTATCTTGCTTCGTTCTCGAGATCTCAGGGGGGCGGTCATCCGCCCCCCCCCCCCCCGTCGGTACGAAGTTGGCGCATGTCGGTGCGCGGGTTAAGACAATATAAGAATGTAGTGATCAAGGTTCATTTAGCCAAAATCCTGAAAGTTCAAATAATGTCCAGTTTCCACAAAATGAAAATGGACAGTCTGAGATTAATTAGATGCTAGCAGGGTCCGAAGTTAATAAGATGGTAGCAGGACGTGCATCGGCTAAACTTGGATGAAACGCCCGCGCTCATGCTTAGCGGTTTCATTGCAACCCACTTTGCGTATCAAAGTGCAGCGCTTTTAGTAAACGTAATTACCTGCCTTATCACTGTGAGACCCGTGCCATGCTATTAACTCATTACCCCCTGCCTTATCTGAAAAGATAGCATTATCTTTATCAGATTAGCCTGCACTACCCCGAACACCAATTGGCACTTAGCGAAATTTACTGGAGTAGAAGCCATGACCCCCGGCTGGGATTAGCCCAGTCTCCCCTCCCATCCCCAACAGCCAGGTGGCTGTGCGGTCTGTGCACTGTGCCGAACCCCTGCAGTGTGCTGTGCAGTATGTGCACTGTGCCGAACCCCTGTAGTGTGTTGTGCAGTCTGTGCACTGTGTCAATCCCCGTCAGTGTGCTGTACAGTCTGTGCACTGTGCCGATCCCCTGTAGTGTGCTGTGCAGTCTGTGCACTTACCCGACCCCCGGCAGCAGTCCAGTGACGTTCAGGGCTCTGTCAGGCGACGTCACAGACACAGCCGGCACGCTCGCGGTCGCCCGCGCCTGACAGGTGACCCGATACTTGGCCTGGACGCACGGACTGGACTCTCCGGCCGCGTGACTCCACTCCAGGATGACCCAGGTGGGGGCCGTGTCTAGGACGTGAACGGCGTCCGGGGCTGTGTGGACAGTAACAGGACACAGTATCAGTACGGTGTTTACCTTCCATTAGCCGTGCCCAATGCCCAGACGGCCCAAGACGGATGCAAAGGATGACGCTGGCGGCTCAGCGGGTAGGCATGGTGGGATTATACACTTGGTAACTCATGGGAAGGGCTTATGTGTGCAAGGAAATGCCACCTTGAATAATCGTATGCATTAGCAAGCATGGAGGTCCAATGCTTTACTGAAATGACGTAACAACCAAGCATATACGCTTACGGTTAACAACCCAGCGTGGGCAAAGTGGGCACTGGGTAGTTAGCTACGCTCCCTTGCGAGCGATAACTGATATTGATTGGTACTATTTGCGGCACATGGCGTCGCACGCAAACTGGGTAAACACCCACTGATACAGGGCCAGTGCTCATCTCTTCAATCGGGCATTGATCCGAGCTCGTGTCCTGATAACGATCAGACCTTCGCGACAAAAGGCAGTACAGCATAACGGCCCGGAGACGGAGCTCCAAGATAGCTGCCGCGCAACAGCAGCAACAGCATGTTGCTAGTATTCGTGAAGCACCGGTCTAGATTGTGTCTCTAGAGAATATCCAATGGTAGCAGCACTCAGAGCTCACCAAATTTGACAATAGACCGAAGCACCCTAGGGCGTCCACTTGTTTCTACTAAGTGCAAGTTGATCAAGTTGTGTAGCTCGAAATTAAACCTAGAATTGTTTACAGGCTGCATCAGCGAAGAGATTGCTGGCTGAAATTGAGTTTCGCTGTGGGAGAGAGAGAGAGCAGGAGAGAGAGAGAGAGAGAGAGAGAGAGAGAGAGAGAGAGAGAGAGAGAGAGAGAGAAGAAGAAAAAGAAGAAGGAGAATCATATCTCACCTGTGGGGCCAGTAACGCCGTGAAGAGACCCACGACCATTGCTAGTGCGTCCCAGCAGAGTCGCCCTCACTGATGCGTCAAAATGCTGGCAGTAACTATCCAGGTCGGCCTTGAGCTCGCTGACCCCGGGCTTCAGGGTGACCTTTCCGTGACCTCTGATGGTGATCACGTGATAGGGCTGACAGGGGCCGAGCTCGTTGGCGTTCTTTCTCTCCCAGGTCAGTGTCACCACCGAGCCGCTGACCTCAGAAATGAAGAAGGAGTCGGGTGGAGAGGGATCTGAAAGAAGACGTTTCGGAGTTTGCTGTGATTTCTATAAGAAGCTGTATGTTTTACGACTTTCATATTAAAATGAAAGCAATTGCTCCTTCATGAATAACATTTGCTTTTATTTCCTTTGTTTTTTTCATGCTGTTTTCTGTTTTGGTCTTTTTAATTCATTTCTTACAGATCTAATAACATATGCTCCTTTCTGGCCGCTTTTCTCAGCAGTGACATCTAATTAACGTCTTGTAAAAAAAGCATTACCTTCCGGAGCCGGCGTCTGCCATTGGACGACATCGGGAGCAGCGTCTTCTCCTTTCAGTATCGCACCCACTTGGATATACACCAGCGAGCACGGCGGTAAACTCAGCTGAAAACCAGATCACATGATTAAAGCGCGGCTAGTCTGTAAGTGTCTTAAATATGATGCATTTTAATTATTATTATTATTATTATTATTGTTTATTCAGCATCGTCATGCGACAAAAAGATACATACCCCCCCACCCCCCACCCACCCACACACACAGTTAATCAGAACTCAGGAGGTTAGTAGTCTTAACAGGCGCCGCGAGGCCTGACAGTTGCTTGCCAAAACCATCTTCAAACTGTCTATAAGACCGCTTTCTTGGAGTGGTGCCCGGACTATGTCGTGATCGACGTACCCAGCAGCGATGTGCATGATAGTGGCGAAATTCCCACCACACAGATTATATACGTGGCCAATAAACGACCCATCCAACTGCTCGGGGTACGTAGCAAGTCTGGCCAGTCCAGTGACGTAGGCTTGGCGAAGACGGTGGTCAGCGCGGAAAGCATTACGGAATGCGCGAAGGGCATCACCTCGCAGCACCTCACCGATGCGAGGCACCCCAGCAGCAATCAAAAGAGCCGTATGGTGCGCAGAACGCGGCAGACCCAGCGCTGCCTTGATCAGCGAAGCCTGTCGCGAGTCTAGACGCTCAATGTCGGCGGAACTGAGGGGAGCCGTCTCACAGCCGAAGATCAGTGCCGGCAGCACTACTGTCTTCCAGAGGAAGATTTTGTCAGCAGCAGTCAGGCGGTTGGTGAAATTGCCCAGGGGTGTGAGGCCATAGAATGATGCACAAGCACGCCTGATGCGCTGAGCCACGTGGCTGTCTGTGCTGAGGTTGTCATCAAGCACCGTACCGAGGTGCTCGGTCGTCTGCCGGATCTGCAGCTGCTGTCCTGACAGTGTCCACCTCGGTGTGCTCGTGAATAGTTCCTGTCCAAATATAATACAATGGCTCTTGGTTTTTCCCGGTTCAGGGTGAACGAAGTCGAGGCGCCAAGTAGCCGCGAATTCTCCCACCATCTGCAGCATGTCGCTAAGATTTATTGGAATGAAACAACCTTCTGATGGCTCTTCTCCTGACCGACTGGTTCCAACCCGAGGGAACAACCATCCCCGTCTAAAAAGAAATCCCTTTGACCGTTGGCATGATATGTACAATTGTTACGTCTCGTAGCGACCCTTGAGTAACGGGAGCCGAAAACCGCGCCAACCGTGCAGGACGCATTGCTACCATTACAGGAACTGACAATTCAGATTTTTTCAGCAGAATTCACATAACTCAGAGGAATGCACATACAACTTCAACCAAACAGATGACAACAGTTCGGTGTATCATGGCGCATCCCCAGTTTCGAACTAATAGTTTCAATGCCACCTCCTACACCGTACACGAGCCGCGACCAGCCACTGCCATCAAAATGGCGGAAAGCGGCGCTGTGCACGTTGACAACCTATAGCACCTGCTGTCGATAGCATCGGACAGCAGGCGATTGATGTTCTCTGATCTCACATCCGGAAATAGGGCTCAGTGGTGCAGCTCATTATCTGAACGGGTGGCAGAACGAGGTGGCTGTCTTATCTGAACGAACCCAGACAACTGAACGGACCTGCGTGAGGGTGAGTTGGGCTTGTTTCGTCTGATGGTCACATTGATCCGCCGCTGAGCGTGAACCAGTAATTGGAGGAGAGATACAGAACTGTTGAAACAGCGCTCCGGGGAACGAACTGCACGACTGGCACTTTGATCGCGTGAAGCAGCGATATGTGATTGACTGTTGCATGATTTAGTGTGAGACCATATTGAGCCGATTGACAAGGATATTTACTATTGAAAACTGTTCTGTGCTTCCTCAACTATGCTGGATACGGACAGATCCTGATCAGGCTAAACCTTCCCTCTTTCTTTGAAAACTCAAGTCAAACTTATTCACTGACCTCCATCTGGCAGATCTCGGTCGCCTGGTCACAGACGTCCTCAGCCTGCACCTGTGTCCTGTTCGGTGTCCCCTTCTCGCCGTCAATGTGCACACTGACGTAGAACTCTGCCGCGGGGCAGTGGGGCGGCTTCCAGGTCACTCGGACGGCCGTGCGACTGCCGTTCACAGACTCGATGGACAGGTCTTGCACCAGCTGAACGTACAGCACCATGTCGGCGTCGACGGCTGTTGGAGGAATGGCGAAAAAGGGATATTGCATAGGTCAGGAGGCTGACTCAAATAAGGGGTGAACTAAGGGAGGAAGAGAGGATAACCCTGCAAATACATTTTCTAAAGAGACTGAGAAAGGTGTGCTAGTTTTATGACACCATGCTGAACTGCTTATCAATTCATCAGGGCCAGGCGTTAATCATGTTTTCCCTTTTTTCATTAACATTAAGACCTATCCACTCACCAAAACCGAGCGGTATCAACATCTGAATTTCATCGTCCGTGGTACTGAAGGGAAGCTCACACGCCACACTGTGCAGACTGATCGACTCGGGCTCATCTTTCAGCGCCCCGTGTCCCGCCAGCACTGCCCGCCGGTTGTTGAGCGGCTCCAAGTCGCCGTCGACGTCAGCATGCTCGTCGATCTCGACGTAGTCGTCCTCAGCGTCCTTGTGGATGTGTACATGAGAGCCGTTGCGGGGCGCTAACTTCACCGGAACGTCGGACGTGAGCTCGATTGCCGCTGGTGAGCCGGGTGGCTGTGCCCAGACGGTGCGTGACCCGCTCTGCCAGTTGCAGGCTGCCATGGTGGCACAGCTGCGCATAGTTGAGTAGGCTGCACTGCCGGCAGGCGTCCAGCTGGCCGGAGACCTGCAGTCTTCTCTGTTGGGAACGGATAGGTACGAGTTTCGTTACAAGCCGGTATTGCATTTTTTAACCCTCGCATGTGTGCGGCGTTTGCCAGCTTCTAATGTGTAGGGGGGGGGGGGGTCGGTTGGACCCCCCCTTGCCGTTTGGTCCCTGATCGAGCTAGAGCTTCGCGAAAAAAACGAGCGTGTTGCCCGTGACGAGAGGAAGCCGATGATACCCAATTTTAAGGTCCTAGGTCATCGGGTGACCTTCCAGGTCAGGTCAATGACCCAAAGTCGGGAAAATCGGGACCTGTTAGAAAGTCGTAAAGTGTGGCTGCTAAGGGGTTTTTTCGGGGTGCTGATCACGAATATTGTGTTATTTTTGATCACAGATGATGTCTTGAAGCATTTAGACCAGGTCGGGTCAGGTCAGGTCAGGTCAACCAGTAGGCGTCGTGACGGGTATTCGTAGTACGTGTCAACCGCCTCTGACAGCTTCGTAACATGTTACAAAGTCACCAAAACTACTTCGTAAATGTTGAAATTGTTGCTAAATTCGAATTCAGCTCCAAAAACTAGCCTAGACACATGTAAAACTCGAAAAAGTGACCCGAGGTCACCCGAGGTCACCAAAGGTCAATGACCTGACCTGACCTTCAGGTGACCTTGACACACACGGGAGTAACATCAAATCACATGTTTGAACGTTTGAAACCACGAAAAGCTTGCAAACACGCGGCTAGTGCGAGCCGACATACGCGAAATCGCGATTCCGGCCAAACATGGTCTCGGAAAAGAGGTCACAGGTCAAAGGTCATTTGGGTCAGGGTCATGATATTTTCAGGGTAGGTGTAAAATAGATCAATGCGAAGGTACTGAAAGTTTAGTCGCGATCGGCCGCTTTTTACGCGAGTTATTTGCGAAAAAACATGGGGGGGTCCATCCGACCCCCCCCCCCCTACACATGCGAGGGTTAAATTAGGTATTGTTTTATGATTAAGAATTGATTCCAAATATTCAAAAGATCCTTCTTTCGCTAAGAAAACGCACATTTTTCTACATTCGCCGTTCGTCAGTGAACGTATTTTGAATTATAAGCCACCTAGCAACGTAGGTTTTCTAGACACCAACTAATTCCATCTTTATAATTGAAAAGATAAGAATTGCGTACCTATTAAACTTCAACAGCACATACCTGCAGGCCAGATCTACCAGCGTGTTCTCTGTGAGCTCTGACACCACTTGACGGCGCAGCTTACTCAGCACACTCAGTGTGCTGAGACTCGCAACCCGGGCCGGGGTAATGCGCAGGTCCATGGTCTTCAGTTGCTCCGACTTCAGGTACTGGCTGTCCATTGACGGGTCGGTGAAGCTCAGATGCATGCCCGACTCGCACTTGAAGTTGGAATCGTTGGTGCCAAACGCCAGGGAGTCGCGAATGACGCCGTAACAGGTTCGGTTGAAAAACTGGAAGCCGGCGGCCCGGGGACACGGCACTGAAATATCGGCACGCGTCATTTAATAGAGATTGCAACTTGCAGTGTTCGCTTTGCTTATCGTGGCAATCAGACCTATTAAGTCCTTTACTCATGGAGATCCTAAGCCTTAGGGTAATTTTACATTTGGCACCGTTCTACCCCATGTAAATAAAAAGAAATGTGTATGTTGTGTTTAGAAATAGCTCGCTACGGTGCCTTTTTAAAGAGTTATAAACCTTGAACAATACCATCTACCATCGTTCTAAATTAAAGACATATCCATAAGTCTTCAGTAAAAATTCATGCCACGACTCAATAATCAAGGCGCTTTTCATCATACATTCCCCTCTTCATCATTTCAGACATTCCGTATTATGATAAGCGACATTTAAAAAGATCTCACCGAATGCTTCTCCGCAATAGGTGTTTTCGCCCTCCACGTACACCTGTAGAACAAAATATGTACCTAAGTGGGACACTTGCGATTACAACTGAAGAAAAACTCACGACATTTTCATGGATGAGAAATATCATCTCGCGTGCAGGAACTTGAAACTGCTCGTCAAAACCCCTCATCTTTGACCTTAATAGTTTCGCATAGGTATGGTTACTGTATATTTCAATCACCAAATGCAATCGAGAAATCGAGAAGCTTGAATTTGCAAGTTGCTTTAGGGGCTTTGAAAATATGTCTTTTAATATAGTGTACCTACAAATTACAATAAATAACCCTTATTTAACCCTTATTTATTACGTTGTTCAACGATCACGGCTTTTTGGAAAAGCAACGCATATTGCAAACACATTATTTGCCATTTGTTGTCAGTACTTACCAAGGGAGATGCTAGTAAAGCCACAATGCTGCCAATAATGATCTTGTTTGCCATAATAATACGCTTATCGGCGATTGAGAAGTCTTTCATAACTGATGCATTATCAATTAAACGTTTTTTATGACTGATTTTCCTGGTGATACATAAGTGAAAATGTTATATATCTAGCAGCATTGTATACACAATGCATATTAATTGGCAACAAAGAAATATCATGTACCTGCCAAACGTTTGACCATTACATTATCAATATCGGTGCATGGTGAATCGGCCATTGACCTCCCACGGCAACCTACTTTTTCGAACCCCAACAAGTTGAACGCCACGACCCACTTTGTCGATATTCGCAGCATTTGTCGAAGAAATACCCCCTTGAAAAATGTTCAAGTCTCTCGAACTAAATTTTGTAAATGGTCCTCTTCTATGTGAATTTAAATCCAACAGCCAAAGAAAAGACAACCTTGTTGCTGTTGGGTGTCATCATCATGGCCAAGATACCAAGCGGTTAATATCCACGTATCTGTTGCTATTGCACTGCACCACGCCAATAACCATAAAGAACTAAGCGGTCCAGGATGACAGGCCTGCCGATCGAAGAAGCATCAAACTGGGCAGAAGTACCGTGGACTGAAATTGGTACACTGTATTTTTGTAATCAACAGAGGCGGATCCAGCTCAGAGTTTTTTTTGGGGGGGGGGGGGGGCAAACCATAACAATTTATCGATTCTTTCCATGCATCGTCCATAGGCGTAATGTTAAAATTATGCCGTTGGGGGGGGGGGGCAAATGCCCATTTTGCCCCCCCCCCCCTGGATCCGCCACTGGTAATCAACTGTAATGCTTGTACTCATACTGCTGATCTACAAGACGACAAATTTGAAACCACCGGCTGTCTTTACCTCAAACGGTTTTAGATGATCATCTATGACTTCAGTCATCAATGACTTCGTTTCCCAAAGCCAATGGAAACTTCCATCGACATTCATGGCACTCAAATAGACAAACATTTTATCCACATTGGTTTTCGCCAGTTTGTGAAGAATTTTGATCTCTAGCGAAACGGACAGTCTGCGGTTTAAAGGTAGTGTGCCACCTTTGAAAGATTTCCCATTTTATTTTTCCTAGGATAAGAAGCTTCTGTTTTTACCAAATATCGCAAAAAAATCAAAAATGGGCCTGGAATAGTGCCTTTTTCGCCTAAAAGTTTATCGGTTTTTCGATATGTATAACAACTGTAGTGGGCTGACCTGTAAACAGGCGTCGGCAACAATCGCGAATGCGGCGCACATGTGACAATAAGCTAAGGTCATTATAGAGTTACGACGTACGGGAATGAGTTATCAGCTGTCTAATCGTAGACAACACAATGTCGAGCCTTAAACTGTAAGCCTGTATTGGTATTGTTTCTTTTATTTGGCTGTCGAACATTATTTATGGTTTGAAATATGATTTTATGTAAAATAATTGATATGAAAAAGCCGTCTCTTAAGTTATGACCCCATTTCACCGCACGCAAGTGGCAGAAATGGCAATGATCAGCTGACGCATTTTTCTTGGCCGAAGTCAGAGCGCGCGGCCCGACGCACCACCACCGCACCACAAAGTATGAGCAGAAGCCGCGCCCAAAGCCAGGGCCCCGGTAACGTGAGGTAGCCGAGTCGGGGCAGCGTGCGCTGACCCAAGCCGGGGCCGCAGCTTTGGGCGCGGTCTACCGCATCCCCGCGGGCAGCCCCGGGCTATCACATGACACCGGGAGGACGCGCGGCCCCGGCTTGGGTCAGCGCACGCTACCCCGACTCGGCTACCTCACGTTACCGGGGCCCTGGCTTTGGGCGCGGTCTGCCGCACCACCTAACAGGCGTGTTCGAAATCGCAGGAGATGATGATGAACGGGTTTATCGAAACTTGATTGGATGAGCATATCGGTAATAGCGATTTCAGTGTGTGCATTTATTGTTCATAGTGGTGTGAAATGTGGTTGGGGTACGACCGACAACCCGTCGGGGCGAATTTCGCACTGGGGTACTCAAAAGTTGAAGAATTTAAGACGTTTCCATGAGTTTTGAAGGTATGGATAAGTTCTAAAAATCCGGTTCTCCTTATCTGGGCCATTGACTCCATACGGTCCAGGAAAGCTGGCACACTACCTTTAAGCTCGGAGGAAAAGTTCCATACAATTGATTCTGTTCTGAAATACGATCATGCATCTTGCAGAAATACCCCATCGGACACGAAACAATACAATGCATTGATGCAATGGAGTGTGCAGGGCAGTTTCATTCAACTGTTGGGTACATATGTATATCGTTGGTGCTTGCTTTGGCTTCTTCCTTCTTTGTCTTTTGTCTTATTTTTCTTCACCTCCAACCTTTATTAGAATGGCCATCAAGTTTGTTCTTAAAACGAAATTTCTGAACTTCCCATTACATTATTTGTCGCGTGACTGTCACTTTCGTGACATTTACGTGACGGCACGCGACAAACATGTCCTCAACAGCTGGGTGCAATTGTGCCTGAACTCAGCGGGAAAACACGGCACATATCGCGTGAAAATATAGCTGCAGGAACTGAGCCGATCTGAACGGTCATTGCGCTGCATGGAAGAAGCCTGTTTAGTGTTTATCCCTTAGTTAAGAAGTGTTGGCAAAGCTTGGCTATGATGCCGTGAAAACTGAAAACAAGAGTGAACTTCACCTCCAACCGTCTCATATTGATGCCACCTTTTTTACTGTTAGTAGCTGATAAATATCCATGTGATAAACGCCATTTTACTATCATCTGTTCCCGAAGCTTTCCGTTGCGTGTCATTCAGATTTCAGCTGCGTCCAGTTGCGGCCGCCCTGCCCACTGGGCTTCTGTTGTTGCTGCTGTGTATGGTGGCAGCGTGCCCGCGATGGCTAGCCACGCCATAACATTAGACCATTATGTTCACGGCCCGGCATTTGCGCTTCGTGTCGTGGTCTGCGGCTGCGGCTCCAGAAAAAAACGTCAACAGTTCGCTGTAGCGTGCAGCCGTCACAGTTCGCTCCACTCCGCAAAAACAACTCGCCTCTTGTCCATTTATTGCGCTCAGGCTCAGATTCGATGCAAATATGTTGTGCTTCTTTTCGTTTCCTCCTTGGGAGCCGTTGACACCAGACAAGGTGACCCCTGGCGCCGGGAGAGATGGAACAGATAGCTCTCTTCGTGCGAATCGGCTATCGTTTATCTCCGATGCCGAGCTGCCAAGAGGGCCGCCCGAGGCACACCTGCGACTGGTGCCCACCCCGCCCCCCCCCGCCCCTCCCCGGCTTCTCCTCCCCGTGGCCGGTCTCCCCCCCCCCCCGCCCCGCCCCGCCCCCGGGAGGGAGGCGGCAGAGGGGCCCGCGGCGCGGCGGCGGCGGCGGCAGCGGCAGCAGCGGCCAGTCGGCGTTTGACAGCGGCCGTGGAGGCGGGAAGGGGCGAGCCGTGGAGTGTGTGCGTAGAGTGCGTGGCGAGTGGCGGTGGTGGCCGTGGGGCTGGATTCATACACGTAGCGGTGAGTACTGAGTCACGGGAAAGGTGGTGGTTTTTGTAACTTTTGGAGGAAACTGATGGTGTCTTATTTTACATTTGATGTTACGGCTATTGCTTTCCGTCACATGACTAGTTTTTTTTTCTGCTCGAAACATGATATTTTTTGCCAGGCGTTTATCATAGCATCAAACACATGTCAAACACGAATAAACACTTGTAAACTTGAATATCCACCATCGCTTTTTACTGACATCTCACAAAAACTAGTCACAGCCAGACTATATTCCCTCAACACTGAAAGCACACTTCAGATAGTGCATTTGAAGCACACTCTGTGCACATCCGAGGTCACTAATCTCACACTATCGCTCTGTGAAGCTTAATAACCGGTTTCTGTGTCGTGTCTGCACTGTGGGCTGGGCCCTAGAGCAGGGCTCCGGGAGCCTTCCCGCGCTGCGCAGACCGGTTCCACCGATATACGGTGCACGAAGGACATGCTTTTCATGTATACAGGAACTGCCAGCGCGCAACCTCACGGGACGCAGACCGTGAATGTGTTTGGATTCTCAGCAAATGTTTAGAATGTCTTTTGAAGGCGATTGCCAGTGTAAACGGATGAGATATGAGAGATGGAAAGGAAGTGCCGTCAGTCATCCGTTCTGGGCATATCACGTCTGACGAGATCAATATCCCATCGATGACTTTGTGGAAAAGAAGTATTTTGATATGAGATGTTTAATGCGTATTTACTTTATATGTACATACTCCTGTACATACTCCAGTCCACACGTTACAAACTTTACCTTATAACGGAGGAAGGAAGAGAGAAAGGAGAGAAAGATAATCATCAATATGATACTAATAATAGCCGTTTTCACGACGGGCTACCCGGCGAATGCACCTGATTTGACCAAATCTGCACCTAATTTCTTTTACAGCAAATATCTTCATTTTATGAATTCATTTCAGTGTTTTAATCGATGATGCTCTCTGATAACATGACAAAGCAGGCATATAAGCAATTAGTGCAACCCTAGCTGATAGCTGCTAAGAGACACACTGAACCTGATTTGACCAAATCTGCACCTGATCTGTACCAGATGTGCACCAAATGTGTACCAGATGGCCGCCGTGAAAACGGCTAATATATAACATTATATATAACTAATAATAGTAACAATATGTAGATGGTGATGAAAGTGCAGTTTAATAATGAACAATGGAACCGCGAAATCGATTCGTATAAGGGTTCAAACCGTTTCTGACTCTAACAAGCGTACCTTCTTTAATCTTTAGCATTTATTAGCATTTAGTCTTAAGCAAATTTTTAACATGGCAGTGTGAATGGGATCTATTCATTTATGCAATAGCCAGCAGACTGCAATTAGCCACACTTGCCACATCAAACTGTCGGCAAACTGGCATTTCAGTGGCGAAATGCCCCAGGTTGTCGGTTAAAAGGACACGCATATCTCCTCATGGTGTCTCCACCTGCAGGGCTCGCTAGTAGAGAGGTGACCCTGGAGCCTGCCAGGAGGAATCCTCACCCCGTCACCTGCTCTTCCTTATCTAGAAAGGTCTCGAGGCACTTCGCCTTGCTGGTTTAGCATATACGTATAGAGGCAGGGACCTTCAGGTGGACATGAGTTTGGATGAGTAATGTGTGCACAATAAGGCTTAGTCGTGCTGAGCTCAATGGCGTGAGTTCATGTGGAATGTTTCGGAGGAAAGGTGCTTTTGCTGCTGCAAAAGCTGTCTTTATGCAGCTTTTGCTTTGTCCTGCAGCCTGCTACGTCATGGCACTGCGCACATCGAATTAACAATATGCACCGTTTTATGCTCTGCAGCGCAGCTAGAGAGCTCAGCTGCAGCCTGCATTTGGTTCCCTCTGTTCACAGTTTGAGAATTAGAATCCACCCGCGGCTACCGTCAAGGTGGATGAGAAAATCTAACGTGATTTTTTTTTTAAACTGGCGCTACGGTTTTTCAGTTTTCGATAAATGCTTCACCAAATTGTTTCATCAAAGTGCGATTCAAAACTGTGGTGTTAGTTCGCTAAGCAGAGGAATGACTTTTGAGGCTGTCGTGTTGCAAAAGAATCTCCAGTACCTACCTAAATATAGTTCTTAATTAATCAATCACCTAGAAGCAAAGTGCATTAAGACCAATATAGTCTCGCTTGACCTTATATAGTTATGTCATATTTAATTAAGGAAAATTACAGTTTTTATTATTAACATTATTTTACATAATAGCATTGACTGTTCTGAAGCTAAGCGAGGTAGCCCCAATCTTACAGCTAGGTGAAGCCATCAAAACTACCTAGCTAGAAGCCCCTCTTTGCTCCAACAGTGGCCAATGGTCTTTGACCAACGAGCCACGCTCGCAGTCGACCACATGCACCACAACCACTCATGAATAAACGATGGATGGGCGAAGCCGCGACTTATGCCGCATGCACCTGTAAATGAAAGAGCGCGGGCCTTGCACATGCACCTTATAAAGCCATTTCCTTACTCGAAAACTCGCAGGCCTGGAGGCCTAATGTAAAACAAAGTATTCATGTTTCGAAGCTGGTCAATCTTCCATGACTTGCACAATAGGTGAACGACCATATTAACAGCTTCTCCATCATAAGTTATGCACGTCTGGCACATGTGCGGCGTGCATGCCTGGCCCGATATGCAGCGTGGCATCGCTCTCCCATCGCACCCGCATGTGCAGCGTCGGAGCGCTATTTTTAGACTGTTCCGAGTACAGTCACTGATGCAACATGGCAGTTGGTAGTGCCACATTGCGAGAGATTGATAGTGTACGGTATCTCTCGCCTGCATTTTCGGGAGAGTGACAGACTGCAATTCTGTTGTTTTGCTGCTGTGTTGTGATGTTAAAGTATGATTTGTGTTGGTGTATTGATTTCGAGGTTCTTGTTTCGTTGTGAGCATGGTTACGTTGATAAGTGATTGATGGTAATTGATTGAAATGATTTGAAGTGACCATGTGACAAGCCACACAGCGATGTTTACGATATTTTACATAATCTGTAACAGAATTGCTCAAAGTCGCCATAAAGTTAGTTGGATGCATAATGCATTTCTTGGTAAGGCGAGTAGTGTCCGAAGGCTCTCTTGTTCAAAATGACTGTTTCGCTCTGTTACACATTTTAAATTCGTCCATAGACCCGTGGACTGCACCCATGTGGTACAAATGTCTAAGTTCCGTGATACTTTGTGGGTTACATTTGATTTGGGAATTGTGCTTCGGTCCGATTTTCTTGCGTTTGTGGAACAGTGATGTTAGAATGTTGTTCAAGTTACGTTAGAATGATGCTAAAATAATGAGCGGTGTGGCAGGCTCGGCAGGATGGTTTCTGACACCTGTTACTTGATGCGCATTGGATGGCGTCTCGGCACTTGGAATATGTACAGCGCTCAATTCTTGACCCAATTCCAGTTTTCGATCATGATAAGCCATCAACCATCTGTATTCCATGGGACTGGAAGAGTGCGCCAATTTTATTGTCCACGAGAATTTCCAAAGAGTAAGGCTATGGAGCGCTGTTTTCCATGCTACGCTCCTACGGTGAGGATGGCATAAACAACTTTCATCGACATTGAAGGGAGATAATACATTTCACTGTTGTTATTTGTACCTACGTTGTTGTTGTTGCTTATAGACGCCTGCTTCTTTTCTTGGCTTCTGAGCCCTCTTTGTTCGCACAATCATGCTCAACGAATCATTTTTTAATGGCACTGTTGTTCATATCGTGAAGTAGCGTTACTGCGTAATAACTTCAAGCAAAACCCATCCAGCAGACTCTCAATTGAATTTACCCTTCCTAAATGCCTTTTAGTTGTCAACGTGTTCGCAAAAAAGAAGGAATGAAAGAAACAATCACAGCCTATTGATGGCGCTCTCTTGCAGCCACTGTAGATTGTATAGAATACTTGAGTAGTTTCGAGGCGTCTGAGAATCCAAACTTTTCAAAGCCTCGTCAACCAATCTGATACTTCAGTTTGCAAATGTGGGTGCGAGACCAAAGCCAGATCCAATGCTGCGTTATGCTGCGTGTGACGCGTCTGAAGAAATAGAGACGTGGGAATGTTTTTGTCGTAATGATGCTGTTTTAAACATAACGAGGAAGCTCATAATTTATTTTTGTTCTTTTAGTGGGGCGGAAACTTGTAGGTATATTTGCATTACGCATATTTGAGTTGTTCATCACGTCTATTACTCAGGATAATTGAAGGTTGAAAGAATGGGATACTGGAAATAAGTAATAGTTTAACGCATGCACTGGAGGGTTCCGAGACCTGTACGCCCAGTGCAAGGGAAGAGGCGAATGTCACTCCCCTCCCATGAGATCTCAGCTCCTATGGACCTAAAAAGACGAAAATTGGAGGGTGAATGGGAGCGGTGGGGAACTCTAGTATGTGTCATTTTCATGACAGACACTACATAGATCCATATCTCCAGGGTCAAATAAGGTCAAATTTGCCTGATGAGGATTTTTTTTGTGTTTGCATGCTCCTGCCTCAAAAAGCAATCGGCCGATTTTGTTCTTTCTCCACTATACGAAAGGCATATGTATTTTTGATTATATATGTTACAGGCAAAGTGAAAACTCGGGCATTTTGCAAAATGCCTAGGCAATTTGCAAAATGCCTGACCGGCTAGGCATTTTGCAAAATGCCCAGGCAATTTGCAAAATGCCTGACCACCAGGCATTTTGCGAAATGCCTAGGCAGTTTGCAAACTGCCTGACCCACCAGGCATTTTGCGAACTGCCTAGGCAGTTTACAAAATGCCTGGCGGGTCAGGCATTTTGCAAAATGCCTGAGTTGTGATTGATTTATTTTACCGTTTTTGTTTACCACAGGCGTTGACCATGTCGCTCCCATGTGCCTGAGCCCCAAACACATTCAATATTTACGAATATACCCACGTCTTGCGCCACTTCCGTCGAGATGGAACCAATACTGAATGGTGTAGATTGAGCCAACGTCTCCCTATAATTTTCGT